GGTTTGGCTACTATGATAGTGGGTTGCACTTGATAAATTGCTCTCAACTCTCATCTTGGATACAGAGACAGAAAACAGCATGAGAAACACACAAGAGAAAGAGAACAGAAAATAATGAAGAATGATTCTTTTTATGGATAAAACAAAGTAATCCCCTTAGACATAGGAAAAACACAAATGACACAATACACATGTGCTGCAAACACAATGGACTAAAAATGCTCCTATGGACTGCTACATTCCCTAATCACGATCACAAAGCCCAGCTATATTTGACATCCCCCATGGGAGGAGAGAGTGCTCTGTTGATTACAGAATGATGTTTCAGTAACTGGGAGTCATTTCAATTGGGCTCAAATGCCACTGTTGATGGCCCCCCTGTTTGCTTCAGACTATTTAAGTCCTAATTTAGACGGCCAAATACGTGAGCATCATCAAGATCAACAGCTCTAACGTCTCCATTTGTATGCTCTTTGATAACCGGCGCCAAACACAAGGCATAATTAATTCCAGACGTCTGAGTTTGAATGTGCTGGGCATCTGGTGGCTCAGTTTGCTAGTGCACATACAGTGCAGCAGAGCCAGCGTGCGCTCAAGTCCTCCACCTTGATATTATGTTACACATTCCCTTTTGCCGGTATATTTCAATTGTATTACCAAAAGACTAGTGGAATGCTAAATTAAGGTGGAATAAATACTTTTTTCCTGAAAACCAAGCAATCACGGCCAAAAAAAGGAATTAAAAGGCTCTAGAAAATTACAAAGAATAATGATAATCCTTCTCTCTGCAGTTAGTCTTATCGCTTATGGTGCATCTGGTCTGAGAAGAAGAGTGCGTGTTGTTTTGGGGGAGGAGGAGGGGAGATTTTGGAGAAAGCGCCTGTTTGGAGTCCTTGGAGCTCCGTGACTCAGCCAGGACCCCTGCGGCCGCAGCATCTGGACGAGGCGTTCAACTCTGGTGATGTTTCATCTCAGTCTCGCTTAATAACCCTTTAGTCTCTGGTTGCCATCTAAGCTGCGTATCTCACATGTCTGCTCACTTTTAATAACACTGAGGGGAAATATGGGAGAGTTTTACTTTACGATGGAATTTGGAGTAAAATTAGGATATTAATTATATATGGAGCGAGTGTGAAGGGCGATAAGTCTTTTTTAAGCTGTGAAGACGCAAATAACATCATAGTACCTTAAAGCTACACTGGAAACGACTTTCCATATGAAAATACACCATCTTGTAGTGTTTAAAAAAATACAAGTATATCATCTGCAAAAACTGGTGTCAGATACAAGCACATGGAAAATGAACCTCATGTTGAAACACCATCATGCATTTAATTAATC